GCCGAGTAATCTTGTGGCCGAGTAGTTTTATCGAGTAAGCAATGAGTCACATAATGTTGCCGAAAATGTTTGCCAAATAATGTTAGCCGAATAATGTTACTCTGTTGCCGAGTAATGCTGAATAATGTTTGCCGGCTAAGAATCTTTTGGGTGAGCGTAGTGGGCAGCTTGGGTGAGCATAGTGATGCCGAGAAGGAAGGAAGAGCTACCGAATAGCCTTGTCGGATTACTGATTTCAGCGGTAGGTTGCCGAGCAGTAGCTTGGCTTGGCCAAGATGGTTAATTTTGATGCCAAACTAAACCACTGAGCAATGAAGCCGAGGTGCTGGTGCTATATTAAGGCGCAGTGCCAAACATTATATTAAGTGCCGAATAATGAAGTGCCCCACATTATATTTCCAACTATGAAGTGCCGAATAATGAAATTTCCAGACCAATAGCCGAAGTGCCAAAATATAATGTATGAGGATATTTCATATTTCCATGTGTATGAAGTGCAACATTATATTTCCAACTATGAAGTGCCGAACATTAATTTTACTATGAAGTGCCCAATAATTAAGTGCCGAACATTATATTAAGGTGCAGTGCCGAACATTATTATGCGGTAGAATAATGTGATCACTAAACGACTATGAATGAAGTGCCGAACAATCTATGTATGAGGTCGATGATGGAGCTTTCAAACCTCCTTTATATAACACCAAAAATTATTTGGGCAACAAGAGCCGTATAGATTGCCTCAGGAAAAAGTAAAAAATTATGAAGTAAAATTATGAAAAAATACAATATAGATTGCTTCATACTCTCATAAATTATGAAGTAAAAAATGTTAAATTACTTGTGATAATAACTCATGGCTTTATTTATGTCAATTTAGTCTAGAGAGAGAAAAAGTGAAGACCCACTTAATGATGAATAGATCATGCATGAATTTGGCCGAGAAACCCTATTAGTGATGCCGAAAAGAGCTGAAACCCATTTTTAGAGAGAATGAGTGAAAATGCTCTGCTTTGTTTTTGTTCTTGTTGGTTTTAGCTACACAAAAAATGATATTCAAAAAAATCAACCCACCACAACTAGCATCATAGATATATAATATTATATGTACGTAGATATGCATATTGCGAATCAAGTTGAATCAAAAGGAAAATAAGAGACCCAGCTGTGGGCCGTATTACTCGGAATTGAGTTTAATTTTGTAGAAAGTGCACTAACCTCAATTCAACCAATATACGTTTACTTACAGTAATATGTTTGTTGTGTTCTTCGTTGATCTCGTTCAGTCGTTCCCACAGACGACGCCAATTGTGAGACCATTAAATATCCTCTCACATGGATGTTGTAGAGATCCAACGAAGAGAAGAGCTTCACCCCTGTAGATCTACAATGATGAACATAGTCGGTGCCACCCAACCGGGGTTGCCGGTCGGGGACTCTCCGATGATGAAGTTAGTCATTGAATCAAGGAAGTAAATAGTATATACATTTGAAGGGTTATGTGTTCTGTAGAGAGAGATGAGACATACCTTCCACTTAGGATGGCCCCTCCTTTATATAGATGGGGGTGTAATATTTGTTTGGGCTGGACCCATTGTAGGCTTTGTTTGGGTTAGGCCCAATAAGCTAGTACCTATATTTTTCTGGCTCCCATAGATTCCATCAGGACAATACCCTAATTAATTACTCTCTCGTTCGACAAAAAATTCCAAGAAAAAGTATGCTGTTAATCTTGCCCCTTTTGTCATGTCTTCCATTCCCAAGTCCAATAAATCATTTGATTATAATGCTTTTAAAACTGAATTAAAACAAAAACTTTAAAAAAAAATATATCCTTCAATTTCCAAATTTGAATTCGAACATAAATATAAAAAAGCCATTAAAATGAAAATGATTCTTATGGCTGATGCAGAATCCCTTTCTGATTCTGAAGATGATATTGTATTGGAAACACTTCCTCTAATTCTCACTAAGGTCTGGTTACCGACAGTTTCATCTTGAAAAATATCTTCTCCAATCAATTCAGTAACATCATCACCAAAGATCCTAACTCAACACCTTGACGATAACTACACAGACACATGTCAAGGCATGTATCTCAACAATTTGTAAATCATGAGATCTTTGCAATTTCAACAATTCCACAGAACAATAATTTCAAAAAAAGACAAGCCAACTCATAAAGTGGATTTTCCATCGACAAAACAATGCAATAATACTTAAACCAGCTCATAAAGTGGATTCTCCATCAATAAAGCAATTCCATAGTGCCTTTCAAGGACAATAATTCTCTACAAGGAAAAAAGGAAAAGCAGATTCGTAGACTCCAAACAATTTCAAATCCGAGTCTCTCCTTCTATAATAGCCAGCTATTCTTCTGAAGAAAATAGGCTTTAAGAATAGAAAAGACTACTGTATAATACCCTAGGTCTCTCAAATACAGTGTGAGCAAATGTGAGTGTGTAAATTTTGAGTGTGTAAGTTTGAAGGTGCATAGAGTATGAATGCATAAATGAATGCTTTGTCCAATCTGCTTCCACGATTGTGACCCATTGTAAGTTTTCTTTTATTTTGTATTCTAGTTTCTCATTTCAATATAAGTATTGTTTGGTATGCTTTTAATTTCTAATTTGTGTTTTGAAATTAATGATAGTATTTTATATATTGCTAACTTACAAGAAGAATTGGCTAATCTACGATTACTCTTATCTCTTGCATCTGGTCAATCAATTATCAATTATTATTAACACATTGCTACAATTAAAAAGAAAATTAAAGAAGAACAAACTAATTTAAAAGAACTTAGAAAACAATTACAATCTTTGATTTATATCTAATCTATCACTAAGATTATAATATCCTGGGTCTCCTTTTGGTATCAGAGCCATTAACATGTTTTTTATTATGCAAATGACATTATCACATCATTTTAAGGTAAAATTGTGTATACAAATTCTAGTGAAATAACATTTTTCAAAAAAAAAAAATGGTTATAAGAAAAATAATAAATAATGGTTAGTAGAGAGTAGAGGGACAAAATGATACATAAAATATGAAATGCAAAAGCAAAAAAAATGGTCAAACGTAAAAATTCAAAAAGAAAAAAGAAAAAAAGAAGAAGGAAAGAGTGTTTAAAAAATGTAAGAACTAAATATTAACCAACCTCCAATTGTTTTATAAAGATAGAGAAAAAAATAATGAGTTGCATCATTGTAAGAATGTAATATTTATAGGATGAGGAGGACGTGAATGACTTGGATAAGGTATAATGTATGATGGTTAGGGTTCTAGGGTAGGAAAAGAATTGGTTAGAAAAAAGTGCACAAAAAAGATCTTCTTCATTTTTCTTTTTCTAAATCATAAATTATTAATTCTTCTTCTTTTTTTTTAAATTATTTTTTAAACTTAAAAATTCACTAATTTAGTGTGAAAAACAACCAAATCAATTTATTTTATTTATTTATAAGGAAACAACCAAATTAGTTTTCCAAATTAATTATAAAGAAACAAAATCAATCAAACAAAACAATTTAAATCGATTTGAATTGATTTTTGTTTAATTTATTTTAAGGAATGAAGGATTTTATGTGGAGATTTTAAAAGATGAACAAATAATTGGAAGGTTAACAAACCGTGTTTGATTTTAGAAAATGATCATCTTTTAAACAATGATCTTAGAAGATAGGCTTGAAGATTTTTTATTTTTTATTTTTTAATTCGAAAATTATGTGAGACATATGAATAGTTTATTATCTTTTTAAATTAAAAAAAATAGAAATTGAGGTTACGCATGTGGAGGCCTTAGAGACTTTCTCACTAAAACCCCATTTTTTCTTATATAATATATAGATTTTTTCCTCTTTAAGCCACATTATTATTCTTATCATGCCACATCACCAATAGAGCTATTAGGCCACATCAGTATGTCTGTCGACAAGTGGTATTGCAAAATTTTGTACCAATAGTTTGAATCAATAAACCATAATTGACGGGCCACAATCAACTAAAATATATTCGGTCATAATTGATAGAAAATTAAATTATAGTGTCAACAGTTTCCAAACATTTTGAAGATCTCCAATCAATTTGTATTTCTCTCAAGTTTAAATTTAAACTTAACCATTATGTTTGAGCTTGTGAATGCCACTACGATCTTATTTTGATGACCCGAATTATTCATTTTGTAGGACTCTTCTTGTATATCATCCATAAAAAATTAGATTGATCCAATAATCATAACAATTTCATTTTATTGTGTTATCTCTAGAAAATAGATGACTAGTGTGTTTTTGTAAATAGACCATCTATTTTTCTTGGAGACAAATACAATAAAATGGAAACATTATAATTATCGGATCGACTTAATTTTTTCCTGGATGATATACATGGAGGGCCCTACAAAATAAACAGTTCAAATCATTGAAAATAGTCTCCTAGTGAATCCCACGGGCCCGAATGTGATGGTCAAGTTTATATTTGAATTTAAAAGAAACTCAATTCTTTTGTAAAATGAAATCAATATACCAAAATTAAACTTGAATATTTTGAATCATCAAAATAAAATCTGTGATGAGCCTCACTGACCTCTTAAATTTTTTAAAGCTCAAATTTAAATTTGAAATAAGCAAAATTCATATTAAAAATAATCCAAAAACACTAAAGTTACTAAAAAAAATTACTCATTTACTTTAAATCATGGGAAAATTAGTCTAAGGTTCCTCTCTCATTTTTAGTAATGGAAGAGATCCACAATATTATTTTATGATATCTAAGGTCCCTCAACCACCAGACTCATACATCACAAAGAAATTTGACTCTCTCAAATCAAACTTCATTTCTCTCTCTCTCTACTTCAATATTGTTTAAACCCTAGCTCTTACCAATCTTCTTCTTCTCTCTCTACAAAAATGGAAAACAACGGTCAACCACTCGCTGAGATTGTGATTTTGAAAGGTATGATTTAATATATTGCGAAAAAATGGTCTAATCCACTCGCTGATATGAATGCTTTTTATGATTTTATCAAGAAATCGTTGCACATTGATGTTAGCAAGACCCAATTGTTTGAAAAAGTGAGGAGGTTGAAGAAGAAGTATGAGAACAATGCTAGCAAGAGTAAAATGGGCGAGGATTGGACTTTTTTGAAGGCTCATAAGCAAAAAGCGTATGAATTGTTGAAAAAGATATGGTTTGGTGGAGCTAATTCTGTAGGTGTTGATAGTGCAAAGGTTAATGGGAAAGCAAGGAAGAATCAGAGTGAAAAAGCCATTGCACCTTCACCAAGGGGTTGATAGTGGGAAGGAAGAAACAGAGATGCAGGTTGAGCCAAGTGTAGGGGTGTCTCTCTCATAATTTAACTTGGTTTTCATTTTCTTCGTCTGTGAATTGTGTATTTTTCTGCAACTTGTGTTTAGCTCATATTCATTGTAATTTATGTGACTGAATGGGAATTGGTTCTTGTTCTGTTTTGTTCCTGTGAAATTTTCCTCCTAGATTTGGTCATATTGAATCTGAAATAAGTTTGTTTATGTTTGAACTTTTGCTAAATTTGTTTTCTTGTCAGATTGTTCTGCTTTACTCTTTTGGGAATTGTTTATTCCAAGGCATATTTTGGGAAGTGATTTTGTTTTGGAATTTCTCTGGATTCCCATAATTTCTCTGGATGAAGAAGATGATGAACAAAGAAGATAATGATGAAGGCTTTAGGAATTTCTTTGGAGAGAAATTTCTCTGGACTTCTCATAATTTTCTCTGGACAAAGAAGATGATGAAGGCTTTAGGAATTTCGCTGGAGAGAAATTTCTATGGACTTCTCAGAATTTCTGTAGACAAAGAAAATGATGAAGGCTTTAGGAATTTCTTTGGGAAGTCTAGAATTTCTCTAGACTTCTCAGAATTTCTCTAGACAAAAAAGATGATGAAGGCTTTATGAATTTCTCTGCACAAAGATAAAGGCTTAAGTTAGAAATTTCTTTGGAAAGTCTAGAATTTCTCTGAAGAGTGAAGTCCAGAAAAATTTTCAGAATTTATCTGGATCAGATTTTCTCTGGGCCGAATTTTCTCTGGATCGCTGTTAAGGGACCTTAGACATTATGAAAATATTGAGTGTCCTTTATGCTATAAAATTTTAATACCAGGGACCTTAAAAAAAATCCCTTTAAATCAAAGCCTTTGGCTTTCCTTATTTTCCTAAAAAAAAAAAATAACAATAACAATAACAATAACAATAACAATAAAATTACGTGGTGCATTATCATTTAAAAAAAAAAGTTAGAGATTTAAATGAATTATCAAATATTTCATATGATATTCATATAGGTGATGGCCATGTAGTGTGCATCCTGCACTCGTATAAATATTGTATATAAATCTATATTATTATATATATAAAAAAATGAAGCAAAATGTATTGTATTTAAATCTATACTATTGTATAAAATAAGGTGGTGTTTAATAAAGAAGAAGACTGAAAACTAAAAATTAAGTACTGAAAACTGAATGCTGAATTTTTTTAACTAGAAAGTTGTTTGATAAAAGTTTAAGTATTGAACTAAAACAAGTCATTCGATATGAATAAGTTTAAATTTAAAATTGTATATTTTAATTTTATATTGTAATGGTGAGTTGGTGATGGTAGAGAAGGCGGTGGCATTGATGGCAATAGTGGTAGAGATATATGGATAGCGGTTGTGGTGATGGTGGAAGGACAATGTCATGGAGATAAAATAGAGGGAAAGTCTAGAATTTCTCTGAAGAGTGAAGTCTAGAAAAATTTTCAGAATTTATCTGGATCAGATTTTCTCTGGGCCGAATTTTCTCGGGATCGATGTTAAGGGACCTTAGACATTATGAAAATATTGAGTGTCCTTTATGCTATAAAATTTTAATACTAGGGACCTTAAAAAAAATCCCTTTAAATTAAAGCCTTTGGCTTTCCTTATTTTCCTAAAAATAACAATAACAATAACAATAACAATAACAATAAAATTACATGGTGCATTATCATTTAAAAAAAAAAAGTTAGAGATTTAAATGAATTATCAAATATTTCATATGATATTCATATAGGTGATGGCCATGTAATGTGCATCCTGCACTCGTATAAATATTGTATATAAATCTATATTATTATATATATAAAAAAATGAAGCAAAATGTATTGTATTTAAATCTATACTATTGTATAAAATAAGGTGGTGTTTAATAAAGAAGAAGACTGAAAACTAAAAATTAAGTACTGAAAACTGAATACTGAATTTTTTTAACTAGAAAGTTGTTTGATAAAAGTTTAAGTATTGAACTAAAACAAGTCATTCGATACGAATAAGTTTAAATTTAAAATTGTATATTTTAATTTTATATTGTAATGGTGAGTTGGTGATGGTAGAGAAGGCGGTGGCATTGATGGCAATAGTGGTAGAGATATATGGATAGCGGTTGTGGTGATGGTGGAAGGACAATGTCATGGAGATAAAATAGAGGTGGTGGCGGCGGTACCACTACAAGAAATTACAGTTTTGTCGATTAAAATTTTAGTCGCAAAAAGGCTATTTTTAGTCAGTAAAACATTTTGTGACAACAAATTTTCGTCACTAATACATGGTCTAGGAAAGTAATCTACGACTAAAAAACTCATTAGTTAGCAAAAACATATTTGGCAACTAAACTTTTGGTCGTTGAACATATAACTACTGTGACTAAACTATTTGGTAGTCAAAAACGTTAGACGTTAAAAGTACTGTTTCCCGACCAAAACTTTTTTTAGCAATTATATGAATTTGTTGACCAATATTTTTGGTTGCCAAAATTAATGGCATCACAAACTAACATTTAGTCACCAAATGTGAGTAGCAAGGTTTTGAAAACCGAACCGAACCAACCGATTCAACAGGTCTAAGGTCTGGTCCAAGTATCGTTCAAACTAGAACCGGTTCAACTAAACCAGCCAAGCTCCCATTTTTCCAAAGGGGAGAGTTGAACAAATAACTGCATGGAAGTAGTATAACAAATAACCATCATGCCACATTCAACTTTTGTTTATATTTGGTAAATATATATTTAATACATTTTCTTTCAAACATTACATATAATTAATATATTTTACAAATAATAAATATTGTGGTGGCCAAATATAAAAACTACAATTTGGAGCCAAATGCAAGTCGGTTCTTACTAGTTGACTAATTATGGCTTGCCTCAGCTGATACGGTGTAAATAAGGTGGGCCCCAGTAGGTTGCGGATCATACGGCGTAAATAAGGGCCCAACTGTGGGCAGAGTTTCCATAAATCAAAAGGTGGGCCCCAGAAGAGTATCATAAAAGGAAGAACATCAGCCAGAAGAAAGGTATGTGAGAATGGAGGAAGTAACTTAAAATAGAAGTAAACTAGAGAGAATACTAACTTGTCCATCGGAGTGCTAATTCTAGCACCCCAGACTGGAGTGTTCATTCATTTTCCAGGTAGCAATCAGAGGATCAGCGATGTCTGACTGGATTCTAGAGTATTTCCAAACCACTTTCACCACAATTGGCGCTGTCTGTGGGAATACTCAAATGCATCCATGGCGGGCGTAACAGATAATCCTTCAATAATTGCTGATGACGTTATGCCAAGAGATGACATCACTCCAAGAAACATGCTTGGACAGAAGATTATCACCGCGCGATGGGCCCTGAACTTCGACCCTAGCTCAAACCTCACCCTCAACTTCTGTATAAGAGACTGTGCAGACGATCATGGATCAAGCAAAGCAAAATGAATAGTGTCTGGAAGATATGATGGCTGAGAACGAGCTCTTGCGTAAGAATTGGCCTGGAGCTAGCCAAATCCCAATAGGCCGTACACCATGACCAGGGTCGATCTTCTGAAAAGAAGGATGATCGACGACGTCGACGTCAGAAACATGATAATGGCAGTGATTTTGACTCACCATCCCAAGAACCAAGAAAGAAATGATGAGTTGATGAATCCAGCTTATACGAAGGAAGTCCATATGTACGGCACAGGCGAGGGAAAGGCAGTGATGATTCGGATGAAGAAGACAAGCACGACCCTTTCATACGACGTATTGCAAGGGTCGTGTTGCCTAAAAAGTTCAAAGCACCGATGTTCACCCTATTTGATGGAAAATCATATCCCACTTACCATATTCGTCATTATAAACAAACGACGACGTTGCATGCTGATGATGAAGCTCTCATGTGTCGAATGTTTCTAAGTAGCCTAGGACCGTTGGCCGTCAAATGGTACTATAAACTGGAGCCGGCATCAATAAGAACCTTTCATCAACTCCAAAAATCCTTTAGGGCAAGATTCATCACCAACAAAGTTCAGCCAAAGCAAGCCGACTCTCTCTAGGCAATGCAAATTAAACCAGAAGAGACCCTCCATCAGTATTCGCGCTATTGGGAATGTTTCAACCTAGTGGATGATGTCTGCAATGATTCCATGGCCATCACCGCCTTTAAGATGGGATTATATCCTGATAGTCCTCTCCATAGTTTACTGACCAGATGGCCATCCAAAACAGTTTGGGCGCTAATGAAGAAAGTTGAGGAATACTGTAAGGTGGATGGCGATGCCCTACGTGCCAAGGCCAGACAGAAAGTCATTAAGTCTGCTATATGTGGTCTAGTTCAGCCGATAAGCTCTGTGCCGTCAAGGAGCCTCGAACCTCAGTCTCAGGCTAAATGAGATAAAAGGCATGATTCGCGCTGTTCAAGCGATCAGTGTTCGCACCGTTCAAACGAACAATATCAAGTTGATAGCAGGCGCACAAGATGTTCGAACAAGAAATATATGGAATTGGAAGAGCCGATCAGTAAGATCCTGTCCAAAGTCCAACATCTTCCGTTCTTTAAATGGCCGTCCAAGATGATGGAGCCTCCTGATACAAGGAGAAGGGATAAGTGGTGTGAATATCACAAGGACCATGGCCATGATATTGACAGCTGTTATGCATTGAATGACCACCTAGAGGAATTGGTACAAGACGTCCGGCTGGCGCAACACGTCCGAAAAAATAATCCATCGATTATGGTAGCCCTACGACTGAATTCACCTCCACTTGGTGTAATTCACATGATATATGGCCTACCGTAATCAGCCGAGGTACATACAATTCAGTTGCAACCTAGCATGTCCAAGCCAATCACATCAGCCAAACAGCCCTATGAAACAGGGAGGATTAGCTTCGATGAAACTGACTTAGATAGAGTAACTCTCCCCCACGCTGATCCTTTCATCGTCGAGCTACGCGTAAACAAATTCATAATCGAATGTGTTCTCATCGATCAGGGAAACACTTCATAAGTAATGTATTACAAGACATTTGTTAAACTTGGCTTCACTGACTCAGATTTTTTGCCGGCCGATTACCCATTGTTCGGCTTCAACGCTAACCTCGAATATTCTTTGGGTAAGATCACACTACCAGTACAAGTGGGCACCAGATCAGTAAATATAGAATTTTTTATCGTCAAACTTCCGTCACCGTTCAATCTTATCATGGGAAGGACTTGGTTGCATACTATGCAGGCTATGCTGAGCACCTACCATCAATTACTCCTCTATCCAATTGAGTATGGCATTGAACAAATTCGGGGTTCTTAGAAATCGACGCAGGCATACTACCTTATTACTACTACAAAGAGGCCAAAGGAACTTGAAGTGAATTCGATTGAAGTACCGGATTGAGAGAGCCTCGAGGAAATTGGGAAAATCCCCAGCGAAAAGGCAACTGAAGACCTTGATCGGATCGAAATCAATGGGAGTCCTGAAAAATTCTTCATGATCGGCACTTCCCTGAGCAAAGTTGATAGACGCGAGTGGGTATCCTTCTTACTTGGCAACCTCGACGTGTTTGCGTGGACACCATACAAGATGTCGGGGGTGGATCCAGTTGTGGCCCAGCACCGTTTAAACATTGATCCAAAATGTAAGCCAATCATTCAGAAAAGTCGACGGTCAGCCGCGAAGCATGCTGCGGCTGTTGTTGAAGAAGTTGGCAGATTGCTTGATGCTGGGGCAATTTGCAAAGTAACTTACCCCATATGGTTGTCCAATACCGTGGTTGTAAAGAAGAAGAATGGATCTTGGCGCGTTTGTGTGGATTTCACAGATTTGAACAAAGCTTGTCCTAAGGATTATTTTCCCCTTCCCAGAATCAACCAACTCATAGACACAACAGCACATCATCAACGCATAAGCTTCTTGGACGCCTACAGAGGTTATCACCAAATTGCCATGCATCTGAAGGATCAAGAAAAGACCGCATTCCTCACCCCAAGAGGAATCTATTGTTACAAGGTCATGCCTTTCGAGCTGAAGCATGAGGGGGCAACTTACCAGAGACTGGTTAATGCTATGTTCAAGGAACAGCTCGACCACACCATGGAAGTATACATCAATGACATGGTAGTGAAATCCAAGGAAAAGAACGCCCATCTAGCCAATTTGGTAGAGACCTTCGACATTCTATGAAAGTACATGATGAAACTGAACACCTCGAAATATGCATTTGGCATTGAATCCGGCAAGTTTCTCGGCTATATTGTCAACCATCGCGGAATAGAAGCCAACCTGAGGCAGATCATAGTAATTCTAGAACTTGGCTCTCCTCAATCGGTCAAAGAAGTTCAAAAGCTTATGGGAATGGCTGCTGCACTCAATAGGTTTATCATCCGTTCCACAGATCACTGCCAACAATTCTTTCACACACTTCGACGGGGAAAAGCTTTTGAATGGACCCCTGAGTGCCAGGCCACG